ACTAGCTGTAGGAATGTTCAAGTCGTCCTAAAAACAGCAGCAAAATGACATTCTAGTTTAAATAAAATTAGTTTAAGGTATTCAAAATATTATGTTATTGTAATTAATATATTAAGTATTCTTTTAAACTATGTAATAAATTGGAACGACCTTTTGAAAAAAAATTCTAATTCGTGTATTCCATTTGGACGCATTCTTCAGCTGCAACATGAGTAGGAGAAGAACCATCCATCATATGGTCATTAGATTCACTATCTAGTGAGGGCTCATTGCTGAACATTTCTGTGGGCACAGTGGCTGGCGCACGATCTTGTACTAGCTCCATGACTTGTTGGCGAGACTGTAAATGTCGTTCCACTTCTGCCGCGGACATTTGCATTTGTTGTGTTTGTTCTAAATCAGTATGTGGATGATGTTGATTAACAACGTCAACAGATGACGGTTTCGGTGTCTGGGAATTTTCAGTCGGTTGAACTTGTGGCACTTTCTTTTTGCGTCCGCGTGTGGAACCAGTACTAACGCCACCTCCTTGATTACTCGCTGTGTTTTGTTCTAGTTTACGCCTTTAATTACAAATTTCGTTAGAGACATCGTGGTAAATGTTTTTTGTTTTAATCTTACTTTTTTGCTTCCTTGGTAGCTTCATCTTCCGACGATTCAGTCTCGTCACTTTCAGAAGACGTGTTTTCGGGTTTCTCATACTGTAATAAACGGTCTAACAAAAATGCTCGATCGCGGGACACTTTCAAAAGTCGTCGTTGATTAGAACGCAGAGCATCTTGAAAGAATTCATTTTCCTACAGAATGTAGATTTTTATAATGTGTGCTTTTATATGCTTGTGTAGATATACTTACATAAATTAGAAACTTAAGCTTGCGTTTTAGATACCGATACTGCGACTTATAGTCCACGGCGTTGGGTACGCTGGAACTATTTCCTCCGCCATTACCACTACCAATACCTAAACCTGACTGTGTTTGTTGGTGTTCTTGACTATCATCATCTGAACCAGAATCATCGTCCACATTGGGATCGGTTTCGTCGTTTTGAGCAGCTTGCTGATTCGCCATAGAGCGGCAGTACCAACCCGAAAGCATATCCTTTAGAAACGATTGAGGTCAGATTATTTGACGTGAAAAAATAATAATAATTCGACTTCTATATGTATGTATGTACATATGTCCATAACCTTAACAATCACTTCTTTCACATTATAGATTAACGCAAATGCAAAATAGCGTATTTTGTTAAAAATAATAAAAGCTCAATTTATTACTTGCCACAAAACTTTCCGCACTTTGTGGGATATTAAATAAAAAAAAATAAATATAAAAATGATAGAGTACACAAAATGAAAACACAAAACTATGCAGACGGAATGTTTTTGTTGACACTTGCATTTGACTACCTTATCGACAATCTACGCCTTATCGCTAGTTTGCACTCAACAAAGCGGCACGCCAAGATGTTCTCTGTGGCGGGTTAGAAATATGGCTGTGGTTAAAAACCTCTTTCCTGATAACTCTGGGACCGGAAACTAAAATAATGCAAAAATGGTTCACTCAACATACCAATTTAAATCTTTAAAGTGGTAAAATATAAACCCGATGTTCACAACTAATTTAATTTGCTCTTTTCTACAGCAACTTCAATATGTTTCCAGTATTCATTTTTAAATAAAACACTTTATTATAGCAAACGGTATTTTTATTTCATTTACATTTAAAGGTAACAAAAAATTATTAGAATGTATTTGTATAAAATCAATTCAATATATATATATGCATACTTCGTTAGTTCATTTGGATTCATATCCCTTAATGCGTCGTTTTAATACACATATTGCGACATTTTCATTTACATTCTAAATGGAATTACATTTGTAGTCAAAAGAAAAAACAAAAAAAATCTCTTCATGGAATTCTTTAAATGGTCCAAAAAAACTTCTACTAATTAAAGGAAGAAAAACAAAAAAATTAAAAATGAAACTTCTTCGTCAGTTACAAATCTCTTACAAATAATATAGTTTTTTCTCAAGTGCATTCTGAGGAGGCTGGTAAAGGCTAGTAGCCACTAAAGTTGCAAGCTTCTTGGCATATTGGCATACAGCTGGAACACGTGTAGTTCCTGACCAATTGTAATACAGATGTGTCATCTTATATGTCAAAAGTTGCATTTGATCTGGTGTAAGTCGTATATTGCTGTAAACAATATTATAGCTTGTAGGAGACACCGTACCTTGGCGTACTGACTGCGATACAAGAAAGAAATCATACCGTTCCGGTAATGTTACTACATCGTCGACTATAGTACCTGGGGTGGGATTCTGACCACGATTTATAAAAAATCGTGTGTTAATTGATTTTGATACCACAACATAGGCAAACATTGGAGGTTTGTCTGACCCACAACGCTTATACTCTTGTTCGAGCTTATCCACAACATCTTTAACTTCATGCTCATACACTTGTCGTAGTGAACCTTCTCCCACGCCATCTCTGTAGAATAGAATACGTGTTGGTAATTTATTTTCATGTTCTCTGCGGTATTGCCGCAATGCTTTAGTCATCATTGGCCAAAGGCTGTTTGCCAAAACATCGTGCGAACTGCATTCTGCAACCGTGCTGTAAAAAGTAGCATTTGTTTTCATATCCATAGATGCTACCAACGCTCCGAAAGCTTTTGAACGATCTCGTGTACTTTTAGCTACATCATAGCCAATTGTCATTAAACCAGATAGTGGTAGGTCTATCATCCATGGGGTATAGCCCAACTTACAATTGATTTGTATAGCGACCTTTGTGGCTATACTCATTAGACCACGCTGATTATTGGCCGATTTTTGGGTTATTACTTGAGTAGGGATAGCACGCTCCAAGCATCCTTTCTTTTTAATTGAGGAATAACGCTCAGCGTTATTATTTGGTACCAAACAAAGGATGAGTTGTGGATCTTGACGACTACAGTCCTCCATTGCTTGTATATAAGAATGATTCCTGTCGTCATATAACATAACTTCTCGTGGCCTACTGATTCGCATCTGCATACCACTTGCCGCTCGTATTAAAGATTCAACGAAATTCCTCAATTCTCTGGAATTTCGGTTCGTAGCTATAACAGACCAACGTTCTAGTCCTCGAGATGGAGTTGTAAACAAACCGTTTTCTCGAAAATAACGTGTCCAATCGGCTTGAACACCGGCTGACTCCTTCCGGTGTTCGCTAAATACAATACGTTGCGGTTCCAAAACACGTCCGTTAAGTTCAACCAAATGACGATCTAAGGCCATATTCCAATCGTTTAGTACTTGAACACTGGCTTCTGTCTGTTGGAGTCTTTGATTAAATATTCGCAAGCGATCTATACGACGATCAGGATTCATACGCGTATGATCCGCCATAGCTCTCATAAGTTGAAAATTGCTGCGCATGGTGTCCGTTAGACCAGTAGGTCTGCACAGTTCGGGAATCAATATTATTATATCACTGCTTCCTCCTCTCATTGCTCTATCTTTTGCTTTTGAAATGAGTAGCGGTTGTTTTTGATCACGGATACGAATATGATATTTTTGGTAATAATAGTCAATGAATGACACTTCCTTCTCTTTACACTTAAATGTTTTTGTTGGATTTTTGCTGAAATCAACATCATTAATCCGATAAGTTTTATTATTATAATCAGTGAGAACTGTAAGTCCCAACACGTTACGACGAAATTCTTCTTCGAAATCCCTGGCGGTTTCTGTACACCTCTTTAAAATGTCATAAACAGTTTCAGTTCGCATAACTTTATGAGTGATTTCAGCGCAAAGTAATATGTCTCTCTCATGTTGGCGAATTGATGTTTGATAGCCTGGCCAGAGTTGCAAACGGTACTCTCGCAAATCAATTTTTGCTAGCGCATCATAAAAATTTCTGCCGACTAACTGTAACTTGAGACCCTCCATGGAACGGCGCAAAATTAAATTCAAAATCTGCAAAGATTGCCACTCTGTCATTGAAATGACACCAACATACTTTATAACAATAGTATAGCTGTCCCCAAACTTGGATTTTGCTCGAATTACAGTTTTTTCTTCTGCTAATTTACAAGATGTAAATAACTTTGTACCATCGTACAAATATCCACCTAAAGTTGCACGATGTTCTGAAAGCATTCCACCTCGAACACGCCGTAATTCAATATGCGGAGAAAAGTCAACGTGATATTGAAATATGCGCCATGTTGGTTTGGTCAGCAAACGATAGTAATTAGTTTGTAATGTAACTGGTGCACCTCCACTACCCATTTTTGTTTGGATATCGGAAGGACGTGTATGGACAATTTCATAACGCTCCCGTTTTGACGCATTATCACCGGCATCCGTACTGTCTCCTCCACCACTTCTTGAAACAGCCGAAGTTGATGGCTGATCATATTGTTCTTTGCGTGAATTTTCATTACGAGATGAAGTCGATCTTCTATCTGGTGAAATTGGTTCCTTTTTATATACTTTAGATGGACGCGGCTCATCCGATGGTTCGCGTTCTCTGCGCCTTCGCGAATCGCCTCCTCCAGCGCTGCTAGGTAAAGTTTCTTGAGGTGAATGTGACCCAGAGCCCTGTTGTTCTCGCGATGGACGTCGACGACCACGGCTTTGATCCTCAGACATATTTCTTATAATTAACACTCAAAACGCGTTATTTATATAAATTATTAAACTGAACTGACGCGAAGCCAAATTTTTGTTAACACAATTTTATATGGATTTTGTGTATTGTATGTGGACAGAAATTGCATCTTGCGGTCCGCAAGCTAAATAACTAACGAGTAGTAAAACAGAGTTGCCAAACACGATAAGTTTAAAATACGAAATTGGAGAATTATTTATATTACAGACCCTATATCATAGGAAGGATAATTTTTACCAGTGGCGTTTGAACATATTTATTTATACATTTATAACCAAAACAATATTTGTAGTTAATATGAAAATTAGATTATTATTATGATATACGTTCTCTGCAATAGTTTCGGTTAGAAGTGGTATTCGACGATTACAATACAATTATTTTGAAAAAAATTGAATGATGAAATTGTAAACATTACTGAATACAATGCCAAAAAAAAAACACGTCACGACAAATTAAAAATGGCCGAAACGACACTTAGAAATAATTTCTTCCCTATTCTAGACCCGGGTAAAATTGAGAGGATATGTTTTAATAATAACGGTGCTTAGAAAAAATAGGGTGCCCTAGAACCCATATAACTAAGAAGTCGTTTGTATCTGATGATAATACCACGGCTTTAGTCCTTGCAAAATGCGAAAGTAAGAAATGTTCGGTTATACCCGAATTTAATCCTCCCTTACTTGTTTGCATTACTTTTAGCCAAAATTTATAAACATTTTTTGTGTTTACTTATGTATATTAATTTTTGCCATATTTTCGTGAATCCACTGGTCCATACGGTTCTTTAGGTCAGTTTCATTCAAGAGCTCTTCTCGCTTTCCATTTCCACCCTTTCTAACGAAGCCAGCTTCACCCTTTAGCAAAACTCCAACATCCGCCATTTCACTTCCGTTTACTGATGGATTGTCCCGGAAATTTTTAATATCCAAATGCTGTATTAAATTTTTCAAACCCTCCGCACTGATTTTGCGATTTAAAAATGCGGCTAGTTTCAATACGACACCTCCCAAATCGGAAACCATATCTTCATAGTTAAGGATGAGTACATTTGAAAGATGACGATGTTCAACCGCTTCACTTATGTGACTGTAGTATGGCAGCCAGGGGTCTAAAAATTAATATGTCTTATAAGTACTAGAAATAGAAAGATTTTAACCAAGCTAAAAATCTTACTTAATCCACGTGAGAAGTAATCCCAAAATCGTTGGAAATCACCAATGTAGCCTTGCGTGCGGAACAGCCGATTCAAATGATAATAGGAAACAGCCACATCTTCGGGATTACGCAGTACATATATTACCTGAGTATAACTATTATATACGAAATCTGTTTAATTGTTTCATTCTTGAATACCTTGCACTTATTCTGCATAACATTTGGAGGCAGCAAAGAAAAGGGAAAATGTGTTTTTATAAACCGTCTCTTATTACATGGCCATTCGTCTAGAGTTTTGTATCCTGATCTGGAAAAATGTTCAATGAATTCCAGTTTTTTATTGTCCCAAGAATTTTCAGCTGCCAACTCAGCTTTGACTTCAGGATGAACGAACAATGAAAACCTAAGCAAATAAAAGTACAAGTGATATACATGTATGGTATGTATGTACATGTATATGTATGCAAGTTAGTACTATGTGTGCATATAACGGGGTTAAATAATTACTCAAAAAATGGAAAGCGCTCTGAGAGGGGCGCCTGTTTGGCTGCATCAAAATCTAAATTATGTTCCAATAGCCAAACTAACTCCTGAGTCCACGTGGTTCCAGATCGTGGAACTGTCGCCAACCAAATATCATCCGGACGTGCACAAAAATTATAAAAATTTTCCGCTTCCAACTTGTATTTGTGAGGAAAGAAATATTTTTCAGGACCCACTTGTACAAATCCTGTGCGCTCACCTAACAAAACACAAATGTCACTTAAAATCCAGAAGTTAGCAACAAACACGTAGAGTACCCTTGAAATACCGTAGCAGCTCAATATTTATTTCGGGAGCAACGTCTACGATCTCATAAGGAAAAGTGTACATCTTTTTCGATTGTGTTAACCGATTCATCGCTGGCGGTAAACTAAAATTTATTTAAAATAATTTGCTTGAAGATACTTTAGCTTGAGGCGATTTTAGAGAAAGTTTGCTGAAAGTGCATATTTAAAGTATATTAAAAAAAAAAAAACTTACAATAAACAATTTTCATTGCTTAATGGGCTTTGCTTAATTGCAGCTCATTTTATTATTGTTGTTATCTATGCATATAAATGCGGGAGCTTAGTGTAACAACCGGTTTTTTTTCAGTTACAAAATAAGAGCGATATTAAACTTAAGTAATGTGTGAAGAAATTTAGACAAATTAATTTTTTTCACACGGAWCAGTAATTAACTAACTGCGAAGTATATAGTAGTTATAAAATTATGTATGTGTATAATTGAAGAAGTTATTGTAAATCATGGTGTAAGTGGTAAATCTCAGTATTTCGTATTCGAACAACAAATAACAGTTGCATATATCACTAACTAATGCAAATAGTCCATCAAAAATGGTTTATCGTCCGGTGCATACGGTGTTAAGGGCACATCATAAGGTAACGGAAATGACGGTATACCATCACGCGCATGCCCTAACGGAAACGTCTCCTCTCCAATCTGAAAAAATGACTTAATGAGTCTACGACATACATAATTACTAAGTCTTAGAAACATACCACGAATCTCGGTAAGAAGAGCACACCAGCTTCAAAGTTCGAAATTCTTAAAGACGATGCTATATTAACATTTTTGTTGAAGGCTCCCCATGCTGCTTTCGATAAGTTTGCGGAGGTTAACATAAACCAGTAGATAGACTGGTCCTCCAATTTCATGCGTGTATAAGTTTTAATGTGCGGCATAGCTTGCGAACGAAAACGCTGTTTCGAACTCCATTGAAATAGATGCCCACGCAGCCAAGACTGTTTATTGTTAGTATTTGCGCCGTATGGTAAACATCCACCACCTATCAACCCATCATGACTGCTGTTAACGTTGGCGAAGCTGGGGTATATCATTTTGAAAGGTGGGAAATGTGTAAGCCCTTGTGGTCCGGAATGTTTTCGCAGACTGTTAAGAAAATCATGTTGCACCCATGATTGTATGTTTTTACCAAGAGAACCAATGCTAGAGCTTTGACATATTACGGGCGTCCTCGCATCGACAGTAGTGCAATGATTTTTAAGCAACTCTGCAACACGTGGATGTCCCCAAGGGTAACCACGCGGACCCTCCCTAAAACCACCAGGCACGGAACCGATGAAAAAAACACTTAACAGAAAAAAAGTAAAGTAAGTAAGTGTAAATAATTACAACAAAATAAGTTTTTGTTATCCACTCACTTTATCGAACTGAAATCCGTTTTGCGTATTCGTGCTATCCAAGGTTGTAACTTTGATAATTTATATTCTACCAAATACAACATAAAGTCCTGACGGAAGTTTGTGGGACTCTCTCCGGCAGTGGTGTCCACATCGGCAGGCAACGGAGGTAGTTTCGGACTCATCCAAAGGCCTTGTGTACGATTGTGCCAATCGTCTTCATATAAATTTGCCGTCGAAATTACCACACGCATACTTCCATCTGTATAGCCTAGAAGCATTACTTTGGCGTGAGATGTAGCGAATGCTGTAGGCATGTTAACTTTAACTGCCGTGACTTCTGGATGTGTTTTAGAAATATTTGCTAACTCCTGTGTTTCATCGCCATAAAGAACAAGTAACGGAGTGCCCCTGTAAAATGTTTGGTCATAAAATGAAAATTATTAACACTATCAACTAAATAATTTTATTAATTAGTAACAAAATTATTTATTTACATTATGCCCGCGAAATAATAGTGTCCAAGTAACCAGCCAATATCCACCATAAAATTAATTTGCACGGATGATTCAATTTCACCCAGGCTCTCATCAAGGATTTCTATGTTGAATATACGAAAAAATATAATAATACATATATTGACAATCATGCTAAAACACTTTGAATACAACCTAGTAGAGTTATTGTTAATGGCTCATGATGAGTTGGTTTTGAATCAGTAATAGCAGTAAGGAAAATATTGTAAGGTGCAGCGCGCTCTAGTTTTTCGGCGGCATGACCTTTTTCCAGAACTACTGGTATGTAATCCTTGACGTTTCTCGTTATTTTGCCTTTTTTAGATAGTTTGGAATTATCCACAGAAGAGGAGTTTACGTCGACTGTGGGTGCGGCGTTAATTTTAGAACAGCCGGCTTCGGGTGACTTACTTCGTTTAGTAGATTCTTGCTGAAAGTAGCAGTATTATTATACTGATATAAATGTATGAAAATATGTCTTACTTTTGTAGTACCACCATCTAATCGGTGACCTCTGCTGTCTATATCTCCATCCTTTGTTGTTGACGTAGTTTTGCTACTTGCTGCACTGCTAGGACCTGCTTTTGGAAACAGCTTTTCGAGTAATTTCAACTGAGTTTCTATTAATTCCGCAGTCATAAAGAGTTCATCAGGAATTACATATTTATTGGTAGTAGGGTCCAATCCTTTTGCATAAATATCGTCCACTGCAATGGTTGAATTATAATTTACAAAAATGTTTTTTGTTAGAAATACTACATACAATGAGGATGTGAAAATTCCCCAAAGTGTATGGGATTTTTCCTGTAGCACTGCTCCCCATATGGACATTTCTTTAGTTTTGTAGTCATTAAGAACTGCAATTTTAAGCAGGTAAAAACTGTTTTGAAATTTGCACGAAGTTAATGCGAAAAAGTCTACAAGAAGCAACAAACAGTTTAAGGTGTAACAGAGATGCCAACAACCTGAAAAAAGAAACTAGAAATAAAAAAGTCTACAAGAAAGAAGAAACAGTTTAAGGAGTAACAGAGATGCCAACAACCTGAAAAAAGAAACTGTTACCAGAGATCGTATATCATATAAACGTTCTCTGTCGCAGCGATTGCAAAACACGATTGCTTAAATGAATAATTGGTCTGCAAATAAACGACAACTGCATACTTGTTATCCTACCAAATTCATTACAATTTTATTTACTCTGCATAGTAGTTTTTCACTTTTGCGAACACCAGCTTTGAATTTGCCTTACCGATTATATTTCTAAATACTATGTATCACTCTGTAACCTGCTTTATCGCTTTTCATATTTTTACAACAACGCAAATAATTTTGACAGAGAATAAATGCAGTTGCATTTTATATTTTCAACGAAGTAAAGATAATGTGAATTGCTGACCTTTGGTTGCAGCTACAATTGTGAAATTTGAGATGTGAGTAAAATTAATTGCACTAAATAGCCGAGTGAAGTTATAATTGTTTATACTTTCTTAAAAATTAATTATGAGGCAGTTGTGTAGTATGTAAATATATATTTTATGCAAGGCTTCTTTCTGGCTGCCACATATCTTACTATATTACCTGCGACACTTAAGTAAATAGAAGTTGTAGGGGGAAACCCGTCAGTTGTTGCATTTTATTATGATGCGTCACTGTATTATTGTTACTGTTTTCTCTTCTTATCCTAGCCAATTAAAAGAATCAAAACAAAAAAAATTAAACACTAAAAAATTGATTATTCTTCGAAAATAGCTGCAACATACTTCAAATCCTCAAAAACTACAGAAAACGTGGAACAGTAGTGAGAAGACACAGTCTTGGGTTGAACTTGGAAACTTTGTCACTTTAGAAGTATTGATATTCTAAACAAAATGCCTATTCTATACAGTGTAATATCTCGGGGCAGCACCGTGCTAGCTAAATATGCGGAGTGTGTGGGAAACTTTGCCGAGGTCACCGAACAGATAATCTCTAAAATCGCCATGGAGAATCATAAATTGACATATTCGCATGGCGAATATTTAATACATTATATATGTGAAAATCGCATAATCTATATGTGCATCACAGACAACGTAAGTGCAACGTATTTGTTTAAATAAATGTGTAATAAAAACCTAATCACTTTTGTAGGAGTTTGATCGTACACGAGCCTTTTTATTTCTGGCTGACATTAAACAGAAATTTATACATACATATGGACTACAAGTGGCGACAGCTATTGCCTATGCAATGAATACGGAGTTTTCAAAGGTACTGGCGGAACAAATGACACATTTCAGTCAGTCGCGGGAGGTGGACATGATTTCGCGAGTCCATGGTCAAATTGACGAATTAAAAGATATAATGGTGAAAAATATAGGTATGTTAAATCTCACAAAATGTTCCTAAAACTAAATGAAATCATAAGTCATACTTAAAGCAAAATTAAGATTTAGTTCTAATATGTTACACGTTTCCTACTTATAGATAGTCTTCGTGATCGAGGCGAAAGATTGGAATTGCTTGTGAATAAAACGGAAAACCTTAGTAATAATGTAAGTAATAATATTACTGCATTTGAAGCAGCATATTTATCATTCATTATTTTATTTTATAGTCTGTTGCATTTCGTAAGGCATCACGTAATTTGGCACGACAAATGTTCTGGAAAAAGGTTCGCATCTATGTAGTGGTGGTGTTAATAATAATATTTGTAATCTATGTGATTATAAGTATGTTCTGCGGTGGTCTGGCATGGCAGAGCTGTATTGCAAACTGAAGTACTCCAAAAGTTTTCCATGCAAATTTATTCTAAATACCATACGTATTTACATTTTGAATATCACATATTTATATTAAACTAAAATCTTTGTTTAACTTTATATTATTTTTACCATCATTATTTACGTATATGCATGCGAATATGTATTTAATATTCCGAACAATTATTCTTTTTGTTATACGTTTTATGAGTCAATGCGCTAAGCATTGTAGATGGGTCATTGGCGAAGTTGAGTATAAGAAAATAATCACATTTACTGATTTAAAGTGCACACGAAATAAGAGAATATATATACAATATATATTTTTTTGTACATACACATGTAAAAAAGTATGTATGTGCTAAAAAAAGCGTTATAATATAACATTAAATAAAGCAGAGCTATACATTTAAATATAAAGAAGAAAATAATCGCTGGAATTCGATATTTTATTAAATATGTATTTACATTCGTTGTAAAAGCAAAAGAAATCATAAAGCCAAATTAAACTGTTTAACGTGTTATAAGATATATATTAAATATGTGTGTAAAAGACAATATGCAAGATAAATATCATCTCATTTTTGTACGCCAACGTAAACTACATCACCACGTTTTATTTTCCCTCCCTGACGTAGCCCCAAATGTATGCCCAACACGGGACTTGGATTATTCTCAAAGCAGCGATACCTAAAATCAGTTGTTGCAACGGCATACAAATATTTTTATTTGCTAAATAGGGAAAGTGCTACCGAATGCTACTCACGTTTTTAACGTTTTCAAAGGATTATTTTCCGGATCACGCTCACCGGTCTCCGGATTGATGTTGGGCAAAATGCAGCGACGGCATGGCGCCACTCTGCGAAATACCGCCTCATTGCCGACTTTAACCCAATCGTAAGAGTCCTCAGCGTATGGCTCGTTCTTATCCATTTTTAAATAAAAACCACCACGGAACTGAATTGGCTTTATGGGGCGCGGTAGTCGTTTATTGAGATCATCAACAGAAGACAAATTCATCATCATGTAACTGGTAGCATCAGCAAAGGCGCCCTGAAAATGTTAAATTCTGTCTTCTATCAATATAATTTACAATGTCTGATAAGAAATTGATACAATGTATGAATAACAAACAGCGGCTGTACCCTCATTAAGCGATAAGATAATTTACGGTTTATGTCGTAAGAACTCTTGTTTGCCAAAATATTGCAAATATACAAATGTATGCATTGAGCGGATAGCTAAAAAGGTTTGCCTACCGTGTCTGATTTTTTGATGTGCGGCTCTTTGGCCAAATCCTTGTCGATTGGCTTCAGAGGCTGCTGATATGGGTGATACACAAGTTTCAGACCACTCTCCTGACCAAGTATAAATTGTGAAAACCACTTGTCATACTTTTCGCCACACAGCATCGCATCTAGTTTCGCACCAAACACAGCTGTATGTATGTCTCTGCCCGGTGCTTCCTCAATCAGCTTCTTGAAATCCAACTCCAAAGTATCCATGCCTGGTGCATTGATTTCGAGTTTTGTCGGTGTGACCAGTCTGGAATTTATCAGCACCATTTTGGGATAGCCACGTGCCGTTATCATTACGTCATCTTTGTCGACCAGCATCAAAGCACGATCGCGGCAACCTTCATAGCGTAGACCGAGTATTTCGCATTCCAGTTCAGTGCCCTCGGGGAATTTGAGCGGCGCACAAGATTTAATTGGGAAGAACTCGAGCATTTCCAATGTACCCACACGTTGCCATTGCTCTGGTATAGCATTATCTTTCCAATATTTGTAATACAGATAGGAGGCGCCTGATAGTGCGGTCACCCCAACCCCTATACCGATGCTCAATAGCAGCTTAGATGAGACGCCAGTGGCGGGATCTGTGTCAAGAAAATGTAAAATGAAGCAATGCGCATATATTTGGCTGAAATAAATCTTATTTTCTTATATTTTATTACTGGTCATTCTGCGTAGTTTCTGTGGGCACTTTTGTGGCACTTAGTATCTGTAATTGAATCTGAAGTGCACTAGTTAATAATTTGCTGCAAACTTTTAAAATGTTTAATTAAAGCCGTTAAGTGTAGAATAGACTTGTTAGTCTTTATTCGAATATTTCTGATGAGCAACTGAGAAAAGCTTTTGCCCATACGCTGAAGACAGATGCACTAGTGTTCTCTCTGCGATGTTAAATGTATGTAAGTACGTATGTATGTGTTTGCAAGCAAATGCTTTGTCTTCTCGCAAAGTAAAAGCACAAGCAAAGGCAAGTCAGCAAGGGGTTGTGGGAGTATCAACGCCCCCATTTAATAATACTTACTCTCTAAAAGACGATTATGGCTAGAGAAATACCATAAGAAGGAAATATTATTACAGTAGTATTTATCAGCTTTCTTATCAACCGGAAATGGAATAGCTCGACAGCTGGTATTCATTAATTTGCAAAATAATTTGTTTGTTATAGGAGTAGAAAAGATTTCCCAAATAATTCTAAAGAATGTTGTTTTTGTAGCGGCATAAGGAGTGATTTCGAAAAATGGTGCCGAGTTGACAGCCCTTGGCCGCATAAAAAAACGGATCCGTGCCGAATACATAAACCTGACTGTTTTCGGAACAAAATGGTGATTTTAAGGACAATGCTTGACAGGGTTTTCCGGTTACATAGATCCGTTCGTGGAGAAAACGGATTTATCGCTTTGGTTGTCGTTGTTTCGGTCATAACGCTGTGATTGCGCAACCAAGTAACTTATTTTTTAACGATTTTAATTTGTCGAAATTTTACTGGTAGTGCTCTCTTATTGAAGAGGTGCTACTGCCCACTCAACCTGAAGCAAAACAGAGTATCCAAAGAATTCATATAGTCCTATATAAGTACCTGTACTTAGCAATAAAACCCCCATAACTATAAGAAAAGTACTACGCCCGACGTAGAAATCAATCTCCGAATATGTCTGGATTTAAAAGTGTTACCCTTTTTACCCTCCCCGAATGGCAATGTTATTTCACTGTACAGTGAAAATTTCGTCTTCAAAAATGTATATAGCACAATATTTCTTAACCCTTGCGGGATAAGGCGTTTTTTGGCATCTTTAAGAGGCATATTGAGTCCAATGCTCCAAAAAAAGTATTGGGGGACCATAACAACTACAATAACCATGACACTACGAAATAAATATTCTCTAGTTCGTTAAAACATGAAATACAATTTTTCTCATAATTAAAAATGATATAAAGTATCTATATATTTTCCTAAGAAATAAGTATTGGCAACTCAAGAGGTAGTAATGGGTCACTGTTCCACTTTAGAACTTTTCTTTTTTGTCACTTGCCATCTTTTCCCCATATGGGAAGTTGAGTTACTATGGACGAAGCCCCGCTGACCCAATCTCACCTCTGAAGGGTTAAGCGCGGAGAGGTGCTTATCAAAAAAATTAATGATATGTTAATTGTTTATTATTTATACTTATTGCTTTCTTTATTTGTACTCAGTACGGGAGGCGTACAAGCAGTGACAGCGTGATTCGTGATGACCGATTGATTAAGAAATAAAAAAACGATCAGAAATCGAACTCATTTACACATATGTATACTATACACAAATTAGTAGTAGAAATGCGGTCGTTGGGAGTTATCGCTTGGGCTGGCCTTAGCATTGGCGCTGTCGTGGGTGGCATTACAATTTGGTTGGCAAACCGCAAGCGAAACAGCAGACGTCGCCAACTACCCAGAGCTGATGAATGGCAACATTTGGGTACACTGAAAATAATAAATTTTTACCCCGTCAAAGGGGGTGCGCCCATAAGACTGGAGCAAGTAGAATGCTCTGAGTTGGGTCTGCAGTCCAGCGGCGTTTGGGATCGTTGCTTGGTGGCGTACGATAAGTGTGGCGCAGTGGTATTTGCTGGCTCCTATCCACGCATGCTCAGTGTACATCCCAAGATTGTGAGTGAGAAAGTATTGCGTTTGGAAGCGCCAAATATGCCACCTATAATTGTGGACCTGAATGAGTTACTGAGGGAACCATATGCAGTTTTAGAAAAACGAAAAAATGACAATGTGAAGCGTTTGGTAGAATGTCCAGCCGAACACCATGAGTGGCTCTCACGCGCTGTGCTCCAGCGTGAGCATGGGTTGCTGCTGTACGTGAAATTACAACCGAATCCGGGAGAGAAGCTGGTGAGTTGGAATAGTTAACAAATCGAAGTATATCTTTACTTTTTGCAAATATGTTTAGGATATTGCTCCAGTTATGGTAATGCACGAACGTTCCGTGCAAGAGCTGAATGAACAATTGAGCGGTAAAACGAAACCAGTGGATTGTCAACAGTTCCGTGGTAATATCGTGGTCGATAGCAATGCGAATGTACTACCGTACAGCGAAGATAACTGGTTCTGGTTACGGATGGGTGTAGATGTTGAAAGCTCGGTAGTTATGCGCTACAACTCGGACTGCTTGCGTTGTATTTTGGTAAATGTGAATGTGGAGAATTATACGAGAAACCCTGATTTCGAACCGCTAAGAACGCTAAAGAAGTAAGTAACTGTTTTCAGAAATTTGGAGCTTAACTACATGAGATTTATATGGCCTTTTGCAGATATCGGCTGCGTCAAAATCCTAAAGAACCGTCCATGGGTGTTTATTTTGATGTTTATAAATGTGGAACTCTGAAGATTGGGGAGCAAATCTACGTCAATTATGCGTAAACAAAATGTATATAGAAATATTTATATATATATATTTACATTCCTCAGTAAAAGAGTCTTTCAAAATATTACATTGTCTTAAGTAAAATACCTCACTTATCCTCTATATAAACTACTGCGTTCTTCTTGACAATTCCGGCAGAGCGCAGGCCCAAGTGTATGCCAAGGGCTGGGGTTGCGTAGCCTTTGAACAAGCGATACCTCGAAATACAAAAACAATGAGCATACAAATTCGACTTAGAGTACATGCCAAACTCACTTCTTGAGCGTATTCAACGGTTCGCCATCGGGATCACGTATTGCCGTATTCACATTTATATTCGGGAAGATACAGCGAGTACATGGTGCTACCACACGAAAGATGACTTCATCGCCGATCTTCACCCATTGCCAATGATCCTCAGCGTAAGGCTCGTCAGTGTCCATTTTCAGTTGGAAACTACCACGGAACTGCAATGGATCCACTGGCTGCGGTATGCGAGTATTAAGCTCTTCAATTGAGGCCAAATTCATCAGCATATAGCTGGTAGCATCGTTGAAGGTGCCCTTATAAATACAATCGGATAATTTTAATTTAAAAGGCTAAATACTTTAACTGCACTTACACGATCGTCTTTCAAAATGAATGGCTGTCGCACCATGCGTGAGTTGATGGCTTTCACCGGCTTCTCAAGCGGATAGTGCACCAGACGCATGCCACTCTCCTTATCGAGCAGATATTTGGACAGCCACTTGTCATATTTTTCACCGACCGAACGCACTTGCACCGGTGTGCTCCACACCATTGTTTTCAGTTGCTCACCATCGTCTTTTAAAGCGCCCAAATCCAACTCGATTGTCTCCATGCCAGGTGCGCTTAATATCAGGCGGTGAGGCGCCAACAACTTTGTGACAATCAAGACCATGCGTGGATAAACGCGTGCGGTGATCATTTCATGCGAGTCATTGATGACCATTAGCGTACGATCGCGGCAGCCCAGATATTTCAAGCCCAATATATCACAATCGATCGCCGTATTGTCCTCCAATTTTAGTGGTGCGCATGATTTTATTGGAAATATGTTGATTTGTTCCAAAGTGCCAACACGACGCCATTTATCGGGCACTGTGTTGCGTTTCTTCCATTGCAGGTAGCACCAGTAAGTCAGCCCAGTGGCAAGCGTGACCCCAATACCGATGGCAAGTTTGCTAGTCGCGCTTGATGTATCTGTGGGTACGAATTTATTGTATGTAACATACATATGTATGTGTGTTATTGTGGGTATAAATTGCGGTCTAAAGGTGTGAAACAGAGGTGTACTTACTTGACATCGCGATTATTGGCTTGTTGTTTGTATTGCGATTCGATAAGATTTACTCGTTTCGTATTTAAAATGTAAGGCAAGTTATACACCACCGCGATCGAGGACTAATTAAATTAACCTCGTTCAAAAGTCACTTACAAACTGCCGGCTATCGAATTCTGACTTAATGGAAAAACTGAATTACGGAAAGAGCAGTTTTTGCGAGAGCAGTGCAAACGGATAAATTAGCGAATATGTGAGGTGCGCAGCAAAGTGCAGCTGCGATTGTTTGTTTGGTGGCTCATAACCTCTCCCTCTACATTGTTTTTAGAGAGAGAATATACTTTTTTGCAATAAATACTGTTCGACAACAAAGCGCAGCAAATACCGGTCTGATCGGCATTAAATGAAATAAGAGAATGAGTAGAGACAACTAGTTTCTCATTGAGACTATTATGTGTCGATAGACACTTTAGATAAATATGTGTTTACGTATGTATATTAGTGATCATTCAACATTTTTTATTTGTTATCAGTTCGAGTGTGTTGAAAGGGTCAATCGGGTCCGACAAAATATCGCAGCCGATTGGAAGTTGCAGCACGACAACGCCCCGTCTCACACCGCTTTTCTTGTGAACGGCTATCTAACCACAGCCGGCATCCCAATGCTTCCGTAGCCGTCCTACCGCCAAGATGTGGCCCGCGGACTTTTTTGCCGATCAAAGGCAAGCATTTATTCATTTGTGGGATGAGAGACATCTTGTACTACATATGTATGTCTATAATCTGTGGTCATGACACGTCCACTCAGGATATTCGGACAATCATTTATTCGTTACCTTCGGGGTTTGAGATAATAATTTTTAGTCACTTCCTTTTATGAATGTTTTCAATTTTTTTTAAGCAATTTTAGTAACTAAATATAAAACAAATAGTTTGTTCTGTAGAACTGATAAACAATCACCCGAGCATTTTTGATTAAAATTAATCAGTTCTTGACCATAAGTGGCACAAAATCTTGATAAATTTTTTGCTGAATGATTGCAGACAGCAATTTTAATACAATAAAATTCCACACATACTCCGCCTACTCGTCTTCTATATAGATGACATCCCCTGCTTTCACTATACCAGTCTGTCGTAAGCCCATTTGGATGCCCAAAGACGGACCAGTTTGATGAGGCCACAGTCGGTACCTGTACACAAACAAGAAGAAATTGTCAATGTCCACAAAAAACTACATTGTAAAAGAGCGAAACTAATTAGAAGAGCGCAATCAGAGTACTCACTTGTTTAGCGTTTTCAACGGTTCACCGTCCTGGTCACGTTCACCGGTGAAAATATTTGTGGTGGGAAAAATACAGCGAGTACACGGTGCGAGCACGCGAAAGATAGTATTTTCACCAATTCTCACCCACTTCCAATTATCCTCTGCGTACGCCATTTCTTCGTCCATTCCCAACTGAAAGCTACCGCGGAATTGCAACGGATGCGCCGGATGTGGTATGCGCGTGTTCAAGTCTTTCACCGAGGCCAAATTGATGAGCATATAACTGGTGGCGTTGTTAAAGGTGCCCGTGTCGTCGCAGGTCACCAGCGGTTGGTGTATCATGCGCATATTGATGGCACGCACCGGCTTGCGGTACGGGTAATAAGCCAAACGCATGCCACTTTCCTGTCCGAGTAGGAAACGCGAGAACCACTTGTCGTAGCGCTCACCGCAGAGTAATGCTTTGATTTTGGCGCCAAAAATCGAGGTGTACACACCGCGACCCTGTGACTGCTCCAACAAGTGCGAGTAGTCCAACTCGAGGTCTTCCATATCGGGAGCGGTGAAGACTACACGCGTCGGCGATAACATTTTGGGATGCACTAAAACCAATTTGGGATATTGGCGACCGGAGATCATTTGATTTTGATCACCGACCAGCATTAACGAACGATCGTGCGCGGCATTGAAGCGCAGACCCAACAGATCACAGGTCACTTCATCTTCGGGGTTCAATTCGAGTGGACCTGCGGATTTCAGCGGATAGATATTCATTCGATCCACCACGCCTATGCGCCGCCATTTGTTGGGCGGACTGTTCAGGCGCCAAGTGCTGTAGATCCAGTAGGCAGCTGCTACGAAGATCACGAATAATGCCGCATTGACGCTGTGAATTACGGCGGTGGTGGTGGTTATGGTACACAGGAAGAGCAATTGCTCTGCTTACGAAAGTACAATAAGTAATAAATCTAGTTTTTAAATATTTTTATAGCACTCACTTGCCATCCTGTCCTTATGCTAACCCTTATTTTATTTTACACTTTCTCTGTTTTTGCTACAATTAATCAAAGTACTTGATTAAAAAATAAAAAATAATAACAACAATGTTTGTGATAAAGAATAATCTTATTGTGTTACTTTCAMAATGTCTAAAGTGTTGAGCAACTGAAGCCGGTATGCGTAAAATTTCGGAAAAATGCCATTTATAACATTGTGGACACGGCGATATCGGAAATCTATATATAGTTATTAGTTATTATTTTGGTTGTGGCCAGTATCAGAGCTCTAGTTGTTAGAATGCGGTACGAACACATATGAAATCGAGAAGTCAGTGGTTTTATCGTGCAAATTTCAATGTTGGTCGTTTTTCGCTCAAATTTAATACGCTATATATTATATGCGATTTTGTTAATTTCGAACTTCTTGTTGATAACATTTGTAGTAAATCTGATGCATTAGATAAATTTTCTTTTTAATTTCGCTTTTAGATCTATTGTATATAATGCTGTATGAATGTATGGTGCTATTACTGAATAGTAAACCATAAATAGCCCAATATAAAGATTTGTTATTAATAAGATGTTGACAAAATTTTAGCTTTCAAGAAATTATTTGAGATTTATTTTTCGCGATATAATGATTTTGATATATGTGCGAGGAATTCGGCTAGTTTGAGATAAATCAAAGTCAAGAAGGTATGGGGAATTATTCACTTCCTTCTCTCATCTCTCGCTTATATGGAGGACAGGTAAATTTGTTTTCCTAGGTTGGTACAACTGTCCTTAATTATGATGCCAAAAATTAGCACGATCTGTCAACCAGTGTATTTACAGCAGGTGTTTATGTCAGTCGACCTCAGCTCTTGCGTCGAATTAGTTTTGATGTCTTCAATTAACTCAAAACGGTTTCCCCGGAGTGGTTTTTTTAGTTACAAGAATAGCTAGAAGTCACATGCAGCTAAATCAGGTGAATACGGTGCTTGCTCAATGATATTTGTTGAGTGTTTGACCAAAATTTAACAAAAAAACACTGCAAGCGACAAGTGGCAGATGAGAGAGGGAAATGAAGAATTAAGCAAACTTTCTTGACAGCTTTGCGTATAACTTGTTTTCATTTGATTATTTCGTTTTAATTAACGGGTGATCCAATTTGAACTTATCAACTTATTTTTGTTGAGTATTGTTTGTCATTCGCGGTAAGACTTACGCCTGGACAACGTTTACAGATCGTTCAACTTTATTAGGGAAATTCACGTTTTATAAAGAATGTGTTTCGTGGGCTTCACAAAGCTTATGGTCAACATAATCACACATCTTTAGATTCATCATTCTTTATTGGAAAATATTCGACCGAATAAACCACTTCCAGGACGAAGGGTTCGCATCAACTCAGACTGGCATATGGATCGACTTGACGGACTTTATGTCGAGATCCTTACTTGAAAGCATACAAAATACAGCTTGTGCTCGACCTATCCAAGCGACATCGCTTCGCTCTTTGGCCTCTGGAAAATCCGACGTTATCGTT